AAAAAAAAAAAAAAAAAAAAAAAAAAATGTGACAAATGTGATCCCTTCAGCTAATAATAAAAATTCCGCCAGCCTGAACATCACTCAGTGGATCAGACACCGACTACCATCTCAACACTCAAACATCTCAAGCTTGATGAAAAGAATACTAATACTAACAAGAGTAGTTTGAAGGACATTGAAGAGGGAAAGTGAAATGGTCTCACCAAACAAACAAAATGAGAGTTAAAAGTTGAGCTGAAACGAAGTGTTAGCTCAACCTACAGATAAACCAATGAAAAAGGCATAAATAGATTAGAACAGAGACAGGAGAGAGGAACAGAGTTGCATGGTCTTTGTCAAAGGCTGTTGTTTGCTTGTGATGTGGAATTTTGGGTTACCTTACCACTTGCAGCCTCAAACATGCTAGACAGAGTTATGTTCATATTTAACAAAAAGTCAAAAAGGCAGACATTTTGCTTATGGAGAAAGAAACATTCAAAACAACAACAAAAAAAAGTCTCACGATTTGAATTATTTATAAATCTTGAAGAGTATATTGTACAATAATTCACATAGTATATGGTTTATGATCGGTTTCTTTTCTAGAAGGATGGGGTAACACTTCAAAAGCCTTACCAAAAGCAATTTGACCATGGGACTTGGTGGGCGGACCCCATCACCCAAATTGATCTCCTTCTGCTTGGAGTAATTTTGCAGGCTACACAGTTGAGTCTAATTCAGCACCAACAGGATTTGGCTTGCAGGTGTGGAGCTTGAGATTGCAGGCTGTTACAGCCTCTCCCACCGTGAGATAGAACCGTTCATGTCCGATCGCCTCGATGAACTTCGACACGTTTAATTTTTTGATCACTTCGCTTCTTGGATTTGCAAGCAAAAGCTACAACAATCACATGACATCACTGAAAAGAATACTATCATAGCGTGCCATTTTGGGTTTTTGGTACTGGAGATCAAACAGCATTCTATTTCTAGGGAGTTTAAGATGAATAATGAGTTGGGAATACGTACTATGAGACCCCTTTTTTCAGTACTCTTGTTAACCTCTTCAAGCATGCTGATCCCACTTGAGTCAATGCTGCTTACGCCTGTGTATAAATTTCAAATCAGCATATAAGATAAAAGAGAGATCAGGTCGTTTGTTCGTTTAAGTACTTGCCGGAAACGTCTAGAATTATGTACTGCAAGCTGGTTAGGCCCGATGATTTTATCCTTTTTTCTTCGTCTGTGATCCACCTTGAAAGCCTGGGACAGAAGAGAAATACAAATGAGGATAGCATCTGCAGATGGCAATATTATGGTATACTGTGTAAGATCCTACGTCGATAGGGGAGGAGAACAAAACATTTTTTATAAGGGTGTTGAAACATCAATAGGGGAATCCCGGATGGAAAAGTCCAAAGAGGACAATATCTGCTAGCGGTGGGCATGGACTGTTACAAATGATATCAAATCTAAGTTCCGGGCAATGTGTCAGAGAGGAGGCTGAACACCAAAGGAGGTGAACACGAGACGGTGTGCCAACAAGGACGCTGGGCCCATAAGGGGGCGAATTTGGAGGGTTCCACATCGATTGAAGAAGAGAACGAGTGCTAGCAAGAACCAGCGAGGACGTTGAGCCCCGAAGGGAGGTAGATAGTGAGATGGCCTCGAAGAAGGATGGATTGTGAGATCTCACATCGGTTGGGGAGGAGAACAAAACATTCTTTCGCTGAGCCCGAAGGGAGGTGGATTGTGAGATGGCCTCGAAGAAGGATGGATTGTGAGATCTCACATCGATTGAGAATGAGAATAAAACATTATTTATAAGGGTGTGGACACGTTTTAAAAACTTTGAGGGAAAGTCCGAAAGGAAAAATCCAAGGAGGACAATATTTAGCGGTAGACTTGAGCGGTTAAATACTAGGTGCAGGAATGTTACCTCTCTCTCACGTAGTTTGAGTTGGCAAAATAGATTGGGGCCTCCAATTGAAGGATGAGAGCTCCAGGCACACGGTTGGCTGTTGGGTATTGATCAATGCTTCTGTAAATTGTGGAGTTGGGAATGTTGCCTAATACTGAAGTTCTTGGCCTTGCGGTGACGAGAAGCACCCTTAACAAAGAGATTGTAATCTGAATAACAATGCCAATTGATACAAATGAGAAACATAAACGTGGATTTGACTTATAATATAAACATGAATTTATTCTATCAATTTTCTCACTGCAATGATCAAGCCTGTTTCAATACTGCCAAATACGACACCGATGTATGCACCGACGCAGACGACAAAGTCGAATTTGTCGATTTTCCAAAGGTGGACAACCTCTTCATAGTTGATTAGGCCAATCACAGCCGTGATGATTATGGAGGAAAGCACCGCAAGGGGTGTGTAACGAAAAAATGGCGTCAAAAACAACAGAGTGATCATCAAAGAC